GCAGCCTGTCGAGTCGAACCCCTAATTGAAAACACTGTAGAAAATGTTTAGTATCAGAAGACTTTCAACCATCAATTAATTAGACATGGTAAAAACGACATATGAAATTTATCAGGAATTAAATAACTAGCAATGAGTTGTTTTGTGTGTTTGTTTTATTATATTCATTACAACCTTTCAAAGAAGCACTTTTTATTTGTAAATTTGAAGGTGTTAATTGTTAAAAATGCCACTAAATTGTGGAAGAGAAGTGTTAGTGAAGTCACAACAAATGACCAGTACTGCATCATATTATTAGTCCCCACTTAAAGAGGATTTGAATTGTCCCTAACATTCTTCAAACTTGACCTCTTTAGTGTGACATTGTGAGAAATGACTTCTCATTAATTAAAAATGAAATGTCATTACGAGTGGCCTAGTTTGTAGAGGTTTCAACTTCTTAAGTAGTTGTGTCCATGTTAAAAAAAAAAAAAAAAGGGTAAAAATGAAAGGGGAATGATGTTGTAAACACGGTTAAATTGTGGAGTTGAGCACCACTAAAAAGTGGATGATGATGGGTCATGGGAACACATGCCAAAGCCACTGGTGATGAGCAGGCCCTGATCTTTGCTTCCATCAAAGCTTTCATTAGCACCATAGTATTCCCAAATGGATGATGGCATGGGCCATCCGTTGAATAATTTATATAGCCAGGTGGTAGTTGGGTCATACATATACTCATCAATATATATATGCCAATGTAGATAAGTTTTTGGTGACATGGGATTCAGCAACTAATGAAGACCATAATGATGTCTTGAAGAGTGAAAAACGCCTGGATTTCGGGGCTCTTTCTTGATTTTCATGTGATCATATGGCTTGCTTTAATTTCATGATTGAATGCATGCGGTGGTATTTTTTATTTTATTTTTTTTTCTTCAAAGGATAATTTTCAATTCGATTTAATGAAAACAGAATTTCTGTTAATGTGAGCTATTAGACCTTTTTTTTTTTTTTTTTTTTTTTTTTTTTTTTTTTTTTTTTTTTTTAATTTTAGGTAAAAGTGAACTATTAGACTTAAAGTGTGGTCTCTCACGCGATTTGATAGCTCATATTGGACCATTGACTAGATTCACAATGTCTTTTTGAGGGATTTTTATCGTCTCAAAATAACATATGGTTGCAAAGGGAACTGAAACTAGACAGTTGCTTGTTTTTGGATCTACAATTCAAGTGGGTTAAAAGTATAATTTAAATTTAATTTGACATTTGAAATGTTCAATTTTAACTCAACTTTATTTAGGAAAAAAAAAAAAACTCAACCTTTAACTTTAACTACTCAACAGAGCCTAACTCATTCTTAAATTTTTAAACTCAAGTTGAGATTTCATATTAGAAAGTCGGGTTAGTTGAGGTTATTTCTATGGACTACATTAAAAGTTTAAAGTGATTTTAGTTTCATATTAAATTACTCCTAAGCACAAATTTATTATAAAAAAAAAAACTTTATACAGATTTCGGAAAAATTACATACAAATTCTTGGTAAATTAATTCTCCTAAGAATTTGTTTTCTGTATAAACAGTGTTAACATAAAATAAATTAATATTAAACAAAGGAAATTGAAAAGAAAAAAGTGATTAGAATTTGAATATAATATACATACTATATTTAAAAATAAAGATATATTTATAATATGATAATTCGGGTTGGGGTCATGTTTGTGACCCTCAATCCAAGCATAACTTTTTTTTTTTCAATAATAAATCATCCTTAATTATGAAAAAAAAAAATCTAAGCATAATTCTAATTAAGTTTGGGTTGAAAATTCAACTGTCCAATCTCAACTAGAACCGTGGAACCGAATCGAACCAAACTATTTTTTCATGGTTTGGGATGGTTTGGTTCCATGGCTCAATGGTCTGGTTCAGTTTTAGATTTTCTAGAACCGTAAGGAGCGGTTTGGTTCCAAAGATTCTCAAAATTGAACCAAATCGGACCATGTGCACCCCTAGTACTAGGACTTCTTTAATTATAAATATGTGTACTTCAAAGTGTAGAAAATTTATCGTTTCCTCTTACATCACATTTATACTTATACATGATTGTCATATTTTTATCACAGAGAACTTACATGAGAGAGAGTTTAATGTTTTGAATGTGTTTAAATTTGTGTGTTTCTATTCTATGAACGAGGACAAGTTAAAATAATGAACAATTTGAGTTTATTAACATAATGGGGATTTGGGATTCACCTATTTTACATTAGAAATTTAGAACCATAATTAGCATAATTCTTTTTATTTTATTTATTTATTTATTATTATTTTTTTTTGATGACGTGGAACCCCCGCAACTACTCGCCTTTTGGATTTGTAGCTATCCACCCTAACCCCACAGTACGAGTATTAGGTAAGTCAGGAACTTAGAGCGCTAGAGGAGACTCATTATTTTACCTTTCATACCCTATAACCTCCTTTTGAGCAGACTGGACTGGTATGGGCCTAATACTTGATTGTACTGTAATTTAATTCTTGTTGGGCCTCCACTGACACAGAATTACAAGCCTTTATGGAAATTTCACACTAATAAAAGCCTCTATGAGCTTCGGTTTTTAATAAAAGATGATGAAATTAAAAATAATAATAATAATAATTGAAAAAGGTATTTTGGAATATTGTTAAATGAAAATCATACAGGCAGTTTAGGCTTAGAATTATATGTTAAAACATAACATATTTTTTTCGAGGAGGTTAGGAATGTCTTAAATAAGATCAAAAGGAGGGCTTTAGGACCCTATCACATTCTAAAAAAAATTTGTTTATAAAATAATAATAACTAAGAAGATGTCAATAAGTGACACTGAAGTATTTTAGCACCTGTACATAAAAATAAAGGAGGTGTACAAAATTATATGGAATTAAATTTAATGAGCCACACTATGAAATTTTGGAAGAGAGTGACCGAACAATGCTGAGATGTGGAGGGTTTTAGAAAGAGTCATAAAAGATATATTGACACAATAAAAGACATACATGATGCTTACCAACCACCTCGAAAATATATGGTAGTTTTTTTTAACTTTTTTATTTTTTTTGGCGAATTCCTGTAATCAAATGAATCACAATTCAATTGTGATTTTAAAATTGAACAATTGAATGCTTATAGCCAATTGTGTACTCGAAGCACTGAATGCACATATTTAAGTTTTCGGTACTGGTTATTTTGCCTTAAAAATAATAATAAAATAAAATTTTACATCCCTTTCTGAATTTAACTTACCTGGGTTTCTCAACTATTTTATGAGGTCTCTGAGGGCTTGGATGAGTTGGTAAGGTGAGGGCATTGGCTTGCATCGGCAGTGTTCGAGCCTTCCTATTTCCTTTATTACATTCGACTTAAAATATTTATTGTACTGTGGGGTTGGGGTGAGTAGATGGGGGTTTACTCAATAACTATAAGTTCAAAGGGCGAGTAGTTAAGAAGATTTCCATGACAAAAATTTCTCAGTAGATATTGTAATGTAGAAATTATAGGAAGCACAAATATTACTACATGAGTTAGTACCACTGCTATTCAATATGCATTAGATACTTTCTAAAAGTATCATAATTTTAAAATATATTTTTTGTTTTAAAGATATCTGTCGGATTCTTCATCCAATACTTCTCATATGTTTCAAAACACATTTTTAATAAGTTTTGAATATTAAAATGTAAATTTTATAACAATAATTTAATAGTATAATTATTAAGAAAAGTTCAAAATTTTAGTTAAAAAGAAAGTATTGAGATATATTTCATAATTTATTTAAACTATTGAGATATATTCCTATGTTATATTTAGTTGCTTCTTTATTTATAACATATTAGTAATTGTATTTAGATTCATAATATTATTACAAAAAATAATTTATTATATATATATATAATTTATTTTTGAAATTTTTCATATTATCACCATACTCGTACCTAGGAATGGCAATGGAGCGGTTTGGGGCGGGTTTCCCATTCTCCATCCCCGCCTCCGTTTAATTTTGGTACCCCCAAAATCGCCCCATAACCGATTAAATTTTTGCCTCTAATCCCTATAACTGCCCCCGCCCTCGCCCCTGCCCCATCACCCGCCTCATAACCGATTATATTTTTATTTAAACACAATCATAGCGCGCGCGCACGCGCACACACATATATATATGGACGTGTTAAGTGTAGGGTTTCCAATAAATATATATATAGAGAGAGAGTGTGTGTGAAGGTTAATTTGATAAATATATTAATATGATATGATAAATTAATAATTTAAAATATTAAACGGGGCGGTTATGGGGCAAGGATCTTAGTCCCTCGCCCCGCAACCGGCCGGTTTTTTTTTTTTTTTTTAACCCCCATCCCCACCCCATTAAGTAAAGGGTTCTCCAAACTCACTTTAAGTGGGGCAGGGGCGGGGCAATTCCCCACCGGATTGGAGATTTTTGCCACTCCTACTCGTACCATGTTGTATTTGTATCTTAGTGTGTAATCACATTAAACCATATTATTATTATTATTTGAATTTCTTCATTTGGTTCAAATAAAATTAAAAAATATATATTTATTTGGACTTATCATCTTCCTTTCCCAAATAATAAGTGACTTTGTAAATTACAATAAAAAATAATTTCCATTTAAACTTTTATACATAAATTTGTTGTTTAGTTTTGAATTGTTATAGGGCGTAGTCATCAGAAATAACTTGAATAAAATGAAATTCCCAATTCTGAATATGTTGTATTGCTTTCATTAAATTTATTGTGTTACAGTTACACGATCCTTTCTCTTTGCATTGAAACCTCTTATACATAAGTAGCGATCCGACTCATAACCCCTACAGTGAATCTCAGCCGTCTATATCACTTAAGAAAACACAGCTAGATAGATCTTCAACCGTTAGATACTGCTTCTGAAAAGCATGGATCACCATTTTCAACCGTCCGATCCACTTTTACTTCCCCACCCACTATATTTTTAGGGCAAATCAGTTCAGCCTCCCCAATCGCCTCTGTCTCTATTCTCGTTCTCAGATCTGAACTTGCCCCCTCTCTCTCTCTCTCTCTCTCTGTGTAACTGCAGACTACAAAATCTACAAGAATCAGAAGTTTAAAACCTATATATTTTAGTTTATCTATCTGTCTGCAAGAATCAAAAGTTCAAAATCTATTACCTATATCAAAACCCATATTGGCGTATCATTTCAGGTTGTTCAAAAAATCAAAACCCATTATCTTTCAGCTTCCATCGCCCGCTGTTCCAGTTCGGGTTTGACGTTCGCAAGCTTCAGCCACTGGCCCGTTGTCTCTCAACTCGCAAGCTTGCCCACCTCTCTCTCTGCAACTGCTAACTTGTATGTATGAGTTTTGTTTTAATTTTTTTTCTAAATCAACTAATCAAGCTCTGTAATTCTTGTTTTGCCAACTAAATCCTATTTGGTGAAATTTTTTATGATCTTTTTTAAATAAATAAATTTTTTCTTTTTACAATATATAGTAAGAAAATTTGCATTGCATTTTGAGGTAATCTACATTTTTTTTCAGCACAACAAATACATATATATATTTTTCTATAACTTCTATATTTTTTTTTGGGTCAATTATGTCTACAAGAAAAATTGAATCTGGGCATGAAAAAAGAAAAAAGAAAAAAATCTGAATTGGATTAGAAATCTGCAGAGATTGAATCTGAAACAATTTTTATCAACATGCCAAGCTTTTTGGGGATGAAAATCTTTTCAGAAATAATAATAATAAAAAAAATCATAACAAGAACTTTGACAAGCATGCTTTTGAGTGAATTCCATAGTGTTGGAAGTGGCTTTCCATGAACTACCTCACACTCTGCTTCCACTTCCCGTAGATTCTTAAATAGGATTAGTAAATTGGTCAAAAGAAGAGATAGGGTACAAAGTGGTGAATTGTTCAGAAATAAATTAGTAATTTTTTTTTTTTTAATTACCCAAATAGGATTTTTTATGCCTTAATAGTCAATTGTCTAAAGAAACATTGTTAGTTCACCAAAATTGAATTAAACAACAGTTGATTTTGGCTGATATATTTTGATTTAGCCCACCCATTGAGAAATCGTGGATGTTAATCTGTGTAATATATATTCAATCTTTCTGCTATATTTTTATTTTCAAATTTTGGTTTTTGATTTTCTTTTGTTATTAGAATGCATAATATCAGAATATTGATTTGTTAATTTTGAAGATTATTCCTAAACTGATGCATTGTAGTTTGTTATTGGATTAATTTAACGAAAGAGCAGAGTATAATATGTGTTAATCACACTTATCCGTAATCACACCTCTTTCTACAGATAGGTGCTCAACATTTTTGACTGAAAGCAGAGTTGGGTTGGGTTGATACATGATATAGATAGTACTTAGATGGTGGTGATTTAATTGTTATGAGTGAGATTGTGAAACCTCTTTCTCACAATTTAAGTTTTTTCTTATTTTTAGGGTTAGCATCGGGCCTTAACATTTAGCAAGAATAAGGTTCAAGAAATATGCCTCCTCAATCATCAGGTAGTAAGACTTTTTTTAAAAAATTTTAATTGACATTTTTAGCTATTGGTTACGATTATTTATTTTTGTGTTACATATTGATTTTTTGTTTTTGTTTCTACGTACGTATATATAATATTGTTACTATGGTGATGCTTGAACAATTTATTAATGGAAATTAAAGACTTGGAAGTTTAGTTTTCAATTTCAGAATATATGTTTTACAAGTTTATTAACACTTTTAAAACTTTTCCTCTTTTGTCCTAATAATATAGGTCTCTTTTCTAAAAGAGTTGATGGGAATGGGTGGAGTAGGGGAAAAGAAAGAAAACAGGTATGTTTTTTTTTTTTCCTAGCTAATTGAATTATATAAATTCCCTTAGTTTTAGAATGAACAATTATGATAGGAAGTGTCTTTTAAAATGACCAATTTCGTAGTTTTTTAAAAACCAACTAAAAGGTATTGTTTTTCTATTTGTAGCACTTTGTTTGAAGGGCGGGAATTCATTACTACGGACTCAAATGGGCAATATAAAAAGATTACGATATTTGAGAAAGTATATTACAAGCTCCCCTAGTTGCGGACGTAAGACACCGATGGTGAAATAATTAGGACTACCTACAATGACGAGGCTCACAACCATTGAGATGAGCTCATGGTGAAAGATCTTGAGTGTCGATCTTTGGAGGTTCGTATTATTAGGCACATTTGTTTCTCTCCGTTTTCCTGTCTTCTCTTCATGGGGTGGGTTGATCTTCTTGGACTGTTCTCAAAAAAACTTAATGTAAATGTGATAGTGAAATTTCTTGAATACATTATCTTCAAATTATTGGTATTAGATAAATTTATTAGGCACATTTGTTTCTCTCTGTTTTCATGTCTTCTCTTCATGGGTGGGTTGATCTTCTTGGACAGTTCTCAAAAAGATTTAATGTAAATGTGATAGTGAAATTTCTTGAATACATTATTTTCAAATTATTGGTATCAGAGAAATTTATTATTTAATGGAGTTTATTTCGAGGATTTAATTATTATTTTAGTTTTATTTTTAGCCTATTTATTTTTTATTTATTCATTTGTATTATGTGCTTGTTTTAAAATATCTTAATTGTTCGATATTTCTCGATTTTGTACGTGGATCTTGTACGTGGATCTGATCAACTTCAGTGGCTGATGACGAGTTTAGATGAAGTCAAACTAATAAATGATGAGTGGTGTATTCTGTGTGTAATTTACCCAAACCTTATCGGAGGTTGGTGTAATTTTTTTTTTTCCTAGATGGCACTAACATATCCCACTTTTAAGAAATTGTTTACACCTAAGATGAGTTGACATATTTCCTGAGGCACTAATGTCAAGTGACAAGTCAATGTAATTTACCCTACTAGATTTCTAACATTGCTTGCAATGCTCAGGCTAATTCATGTTAACGGGGAACTTTGCTTTTTTGTTTCACTTTTTAAATGAAGCTTATTAATGGTATTGGGGTAGCGAAATGAAAGAACGTGAAAATCTAACAAGAAATTGAACAATCATACACAAAACATAAGATATAGCTTGGTTTGGCCAAATCAGACCTACATTATGGATAAGAAGACATTCACTGTGTCAATACGAGAAGATATTACCGTAGTAAAGAATTTTCAACACAAATCATGTATATAAACTCTTTTCAACACAAATCATGTACACAAACTCTTATCCTGGAGTCATTTTCCGTTTATTTCATTATTGTCCACCCTACCAATCCACAAATTACTTCTACTCACCGATTCCCTCATAAGGCTGCATTCCACCATAGAATTGGAACTACATATCTATTAACTCACGAGTCTCAACACATAGCCTAGGTATCATAGGTGTATATCTATAGAATTCAAAACCTTTTTCCTTGTTATACATGATTATAATTAGTTGAAGTCCAAAACTTTTCATACAAAAAATACAAAATAAAATACAATTTTAAAATAGAAACCTAATTAGACTAAAAATTAAGACATAATACATAAAAATAGCATTTACATACAACTCCAATTTTGCTGGCTTTTTTCTTAATGACTAAGGTTGTGTTTGGCTCGAAATTTTGCCAGTGTTCCAAAGTCTAATTTGACCCAAATGAGAATAGCAGAACTATTCCTAAATTAACTCGATCAAATAATCGACCCCTCAAAAGTCGGGCAATTATTAGACGACAAAAATGAACTCTTCATGTGAGTTGCATAATTTGGAATGGATGTGGAAGTTTGTATCAAAAAATAAACAAGAGGGAGTGAATAAGTTTTACTTACTCCTTTATCCGATTTTTACTTTTTATAATTTTACTTAAAAAAAAATTAAAATCAAACCCACAAAACAATAAATAAAGTGCAAATAAAGTAACTAAAGTTTGAGAGATGGTACCGATGTTTTTGTGCGTGGAAGTCCCTGTTAGAAGAAATCCAATCGACCGGGATGAAAACCACGAAAATTTTCATGGCCTTGAGCGAAACGATCTACTACCTTCGAAGCAAAGTAAAATAGACTATGACTTCGGCTTACACCCACTCAGCTTTACTAAGAACTAGTTGTTAAATATTTCAAGCTGACTCTTTCGACTCTTCGTCCGACTGTTGCAGATTTTAGATGCACTCTTTAATTCTTATAGAAGGGTTACTGGTAGATCACAAACACTCCGTGAATGCTCTGACTTCTTAATATAAAATCAATAACATATGACATGAGTTGAGACCAAATGAAGAGCTTATCATATATGAGGTTTTTACATCTTGCGTTTGACATGAGTTGACCCAATGGTGCGTCCAGCCTGCCGAATCGAACCACTAATTGAAAACACTGTAGAAAATGTTTGGTAAGTGAAGACTTTCACCCATCAATTAATTAGACATGGTAAAAATCAAAGATGAAATTAATCAGGAATTGAATAACTAGCAATGAGTTGTTTTGCTTGTTTGTTTTATTATATTCATTACAACCTTTCAAAGAAGCACTTTTTATTTGTAAATTTGAGGGTGTTAATTGTTAAAAATGCCACCAAATTGTGGAAGAGAAGTGTTGGTGCAGTCACAACAAATGACCACTACTACATCATATTATTAGTCCCCACTTAAAAGACGATTTGAATTGTACATCATATTATTAGTCCCCACTTAAAGAGGATTTGTATTGTCCCTAACATTCTTCAAACATGACCTCTTTAGTGACTAGTGAGAAAAAGGATAATACTAGTGGGTCTAGTTTGCAGAAATTTTAACTTCTCGGTTGTGTTTGTTTTTTTCAAAAAAAAAAAAAAAAAAAAAAAACAGAAGAAGAAGAAGAAGAAGAAGAAGAAGAAAAAGAGGGTGGAAATGATGTTGTAAACACGGTTAAATTGTGGAGTTGAGCACCACTGAAAAGTGGATGATGATGGGTCATGGGAACACATGCCAAAGCCACTTTTGATGAGCATGCCCTAATCTTTGCTTCCATCAAAGCTTTCATTAGCACCATAGTATTCCCAAAATGGATGATGGCATGGACCATCCATTGAATAATTTATATGGCCAGGTGGTTGTTGGGTCATACATATACTCATCAAAATATATATATATATATATATATATATATATATATATATATGTATATGTGTGTGTGCGCGCGCGCGCCCCCAATGTAGATAAGTTTTTGGTGACATGGGATTCAGCAACTATTGAAGACCATAATGATGTCTTGAAGAGTGAAAAACGCCTGGATTTCGGGGCTCTCTCTTGAGTTTCATGTGATCATATGACTAGCTTTAATTTCGTGATTGAATGCAAGCGGTGGTATTTTTTCTTTTTCTTTTTCTTCAAAAGATAATTTTCAATTCGATTTAATCAAAACAGAATTTCTGTTAATGTGAACTATTAGACTTAAAGTGTGGTCTCTCACGGGATTTGATAGCTCATTTGGACCATTGACTAGATTCACAATGTCTTTTTGAGGGATTTTTATTGTCTCAAAAGAACATATGGCTGCAAAGGGAATGGAAGCTAGACATTTGCTTGTTTTTGGGGCTGCAACTCAAGCGGTTAAAAGTATAATTTAGATTCAACTCCACATTTGAATGTTCAATTTTAACTCAACTTTCAACTCTAATTACTCAATCGAGCCCAACTCATCCTTAAATTTTTAAACTCAAGTTGAGATTTCATATTAGAAAGTAAGGTTTATTGAGGTTATTCCAATGGACAATTCTACATTTAAAGTTTAAAGTGATTTTATTTTCATATTAAATTACTCCTAAGCACAAATTTATTTAAAAAAGAAAAGAAAAGAAAAACTTAATACAAATTTCTGAAAAATTACATACAAATTCTTAGTAAATTAATTCTCCTAAGAATTTGTTTTCTGTATAAACGGTGTTAACATACAATAAATTAATATTTAAACAAAGAAAATTGAAAAGAAAAAAGTGATTAGAATTTGAATATTATATACATACTATATTTAAAAATAAAAATATATTTATAATATGATAATTCGGGTTGGGGTCAAGTTTGTGACCCTCAATCCAAGCATAACCTTTTTTTTTCAATAATAAATCATCCTTAATTATGAAAAAAAAAAAAAAATCCTAGCATAACTCTAATTAAGTTTGGGTTGAAAATTTTCAATTGTCCAATCTCAACTAGAACCGTGAAACCGAACCAAACAAAACCATTTTTTCATGATTTGGGATGGTTTGGTTCCATGGCTCAATGATCTGGTTCGGTTTCAGATTTTATAGAGCCGTAAGGAGCGGTTTGGTTCCAAAAATTCTCAAAACTGAACCAAATCAGACCGTGTGCACCCCTAGTACTAGGACTTCTTTAATTATAAATATATGTATTTCAAAGTGTAAAAAATTTATCGTTTCCTCTTACGTTACATTTATACTTATACATAATTGTCATACTTTTATCACAGAGAACTTACAATGTGTTAAATTTGTGTGTTTCTATTCTTATGAACGAGGACAAGTTAAAATAAAGGACAATTTGAGTTAATTAACATAATGGGGGAATTGGGATTCACTATTTTACATTAGAAATTTAGAATCATAATTAGCAAAATTCTTTTTACTTTTTAGGAGTGTTTTTTTGCTCCCTTTCCTATATATACCTCATTATTTTAACTTTCATACCCTATTACCTCCTTTTGAACAGAATGGACTGGTATGGGCCTAATACTTGATTGTACTGTAATTTAATTCTTGTTGGGCCTCCACCGATACAGAATTACAAGCCTTTATCGAAATTTCACACTAATAAAAGCCTCTATGCGCTCCGGGTTTTTAATAAAAGATGACGAAATTAAAAAATAATAATAATACTAATTAAATGAAAATCATACATGCAGTTTAGGCTTAGAAGTATACGTTAAAACATAACATATCCTGGGGCGTGTGGTAGTGTGTAGGACAAGTTGGCGTGTCTCGGCTAAAAAAAATTGTTTATAAAATAATAATAACTAAGAAGATGTCAGATAAGTGGCGCCAAAGTATTTTAGAACCTATACATAAAAATTGATTTAATGTATTTTTCTTATCTTGTTAATTGGAGTGTTTCAATTATATTAATTGCATTGATAATGTAATTCTTGTTAAGTTATATCCAAATATTTTTCTTATCGTGTTAATTGGAATGTTCTAATCATGTAAATTACATTGACAATGTGATCTTTGTATTCTAGTATTTTCTTGTCGTGTTATATGAATTATTCCAAATCTTGCTCAATTGTATTGATAATGCAATTCATATCGATCTACATTCAAGTATCCTTCTTATCATGTTCTTTGGATTATCCCAACCTTGATTCGTTTCATATATGTATATGTATGTATATATATATATATATATATATATATATATATATATATATATAATGATTCTTGTTGATTTATACTTTAAGGTAGCTTAGGATGATCCCTGAGTCTCACTTTGACATAGATGTTAAGTGGCATGTCCATTTTGAATTGTTTCAAGCTAATGTAAAAATCTGTAAAGAAATCGAGTCTATGCATGTTCATTCTCTACGA